ATCTTTATGTCCATCTGTACTCATTGATTAGCTCGCACTTGTAAGTAGAATATGTGGTATTTGATTTTCTGTTTCTGGGTTAATTCACTTAGTATAATGGTCTCCAGCTCCATCCATGTTGCTGCAAAGGCTATGATTTCATTCTTTTTTATGGCTGCCTCTTTTATTTCTTAAATAGGAATTTCCAGGTGGCTTCAGTGCTGGTTTGGACTACCTTTTCCTCCCAAAGTCACCACCGAGTCCCTCCCATCCCCACCTCATGCAGTGCACCCCTCACAGCCCCCACCCTTGGCAGTGACATTCGGATTTCCAGGGCCTTTCCTGATCCTTTGGAGACATCCTCTCCTGGCCACAAGTCCTGCAGGGGAGAGTTGAGTCAGAGGTTCGATGGGCTGGGGTGAGGTGGGCCACACAGTTACCTCCCCCACTGCCTGGCCTATCCCCAGTGATCTAAGCACACAGAAGCAGGCTAGTACTTACGGAGGAAGGCACCAGTATATGCCAGAGCTTAGGATGGTGTGAGGACCAAATGGAAAAATAGATACTATAAGTGGTTGTGGAAGAAGGAAGGCTAGAGGGGGTACCTTGTGGGCTGCTTCCAGGAGCTCCCACCCAGAGGCACAAGTCTTCCTAGCTGGAGGGATCCTCAGTGAGGCACCCAGGCAGAAGCTGGGAACAAGGCTGAATTCTGACAGAACCCACCTGGAGCTCCCTTTCAGTTGCAGAGACCTTATGCAGCCATCTTTTGCCCAGCCTCCTCTGAAGCAGATGCCATAGGACCTCCTCTTTCTGATACAATACCTGCATTTGTCTGGCAGACGTCTGTGTAGTTCTGTTCACGGGAGAAAAACATCAGATTACATACCAGTGTTTAACAGTGGCCTTCAGTAGGTGGTACTTCAGAGAATGTTTGCTTTCTTATCGACTGTGGTTTCATGTATTCTCTGTATTTGTTTTTCGTTTGTTTTTACTATAAACCTGTTTTGTTTCTATACTGAGGGAGAAATAAAGCTCTTCTCAGTTGGGAGAAATTACTGCCTGCCTACCATTAATGAGGCCCTGCTAGGCACTGGCTGGGGCCTTGATGAGTAGGATATGGTCCCTATTTCTGGAGGGTCCTCAATCTAAAGAGGAAAGAAGATGGGAACAGAACAGTGTGATTGGTGTCCTAAGTATCCTCTGATTACAGAAGAGAAAGCGGCCCCTACCCAGGGAGGCAATAGCTGAGCCACCTGGATTGTGAGGGAGAATCGGGCATTGATGAGAAGGGGAATGAGGAAGTAGTCTGCCTACGGGGAACGTAGCTCAGCACAGCTCCACAGAGCTGGGGGCTGCAACCTGGGGCATGAGAAGAGAGAGCAGCAAAGGAAGCGTTTGAGAAGGCTGTCTGTTGTCTTCACTCCTGATGCCCTGGTGAGCTCTGTGGTGCAGAAACCTCCATGTGTGTGCTGCATCCCCAAGTTCTGGTGGCAGCAGGTGCTTAGCAGCCCTTGTCCAGTCTTGCCTCTGACACTGCTGCTCCCCTCCCCTGTCCTGACCCCTGGTTGGCTGTCCTGCCAGAGCCTTGCCTGGGAGATGAAATTCCAGCTACCCGGTGGGAGCAGTAACGCCCTCTTCCTTCCTCTCAATCTCCAGAAATGTCTTTCCTCCAGGACCCAAATTTCTTCACCATGGGGATGTGGTCCATTGGTGCGGGAGCCCTGGGGGCTGCTGCCTTGGCATTGCTGCTGGCCAACACAGACGTGTTTCTGTCCAAGCCCCAGAAAGCAGCACTGGAGTACCTGGAGGATATTGACCTGAAAACGCTGGAGGACGGTAAGTGGTGACCCTTCAGGCCTCAGTACTTTCTCAAGGAGCTGGGATACAGGCGTACTTACTGTTTTCTTTCTAAACTCTCTCCTTTTTTAATTGAAAAGATAATATAACAACATTAGGAAAAATTTAATAACACTTTTTAAACTAGCAGTAATTCTATTACCCTAACACAGTAATTATTTTTATTTTGGCATATTCCTTTCCATGGTACATAGTAGTACATAGTTGTGCTTGGTGCAGGTGCTATTTTATATTTTAGCTTTTCTTATCAAAAGCAGTTTTCCTTCTCTATTATTGTCTCTGTAACTATAATGATAAATTGCTCCGTAATGTGTAGTAGTAATTACAATCTTTTGCTAAACCAGCCCTACCAGAGTATATTCTGAGGAATTTCAGGCTTGTGGGGTCATCAAGCTAAAAGGAGTTCCTGAGTGAATAAGTGTGAGAGACACCGTTTATCCAATTCCATGCTCCTGATGCGCAGCACAGATATACGCTTATTAGAATGAGGCGTCTGGATTGCTGCTGATTTGGGCATGGTTGGCCCCTCCCTGTGATGAAGCCACAGTGTCTGAAGAAGCGCCTCAAGCACTTCAAGGTCACCTGTTAGAGCAGACCTGCCTGTCTCCCTCTTCTGGGGGACCCCTAGAGTGCATCGTAGACAGCTGAGAGCCGTACACATGTGTGTGTTCTGCTTCCTTGCTGTGTGCTCTCAGTGTTAGAGCTGTAGCTTGGTGGGATTTCAGTCATGCCAGTGGTGTGGCAAGAGAGTTTGAGTGGTGAAGGTCTCATTGATGGCGTGGTCACCGTGTCAGTCCCCCCAGGTGGAAGTCCTCATCATCTGTTCAGTAAGTAAGGCAGCTTGCCAAAGGAAGGCAGGAGATTGTGCAGTTTCATAGTAGATCACGTTAGTAAGATATTAAGAGAGATCTGTTAAGCTTTGCGCAACTCACGGTTTTGCAATCTTACTTGATTATAGACTCTTCTCCCCACCCTCTCACCCACCTGACCCCACCTTTTTTTTCCACATAACATTTCACAGAAACATGGATCCCTCTGGGAAATACAAAAATAATAAGGGCTCATATTTATTGAGCCCTTATTACTACTAACTCTATTACCAAACACTGTGGTGAGCACTTTTATATTCATCTTTCAATATGCCCTGTAGTCTAAAGTGGAGCTGCGAGATATTTGCATTTTACAAATGAGGAAGCTGAGGTTCAAAGAGCAAAAATAACTTGCCCAGGGTTACGCAGCTAGATTCAGACTTATTCGGACCTTAGAGCTGGGCTTGAACTACATACAGTAGTGTACTACCCCAAAGCGTTTTACTGCTGGGCATCTTCTGTCCTCCTCTGTTAATATATTGCAGTTAACATGTTTAGGTTAAAAATTTGAGACCTTTTCAGTTTGGGCCATGTTTCTGCTCTAAAGGATTATTTTTACAATATTTTACAATTGATGACATCAGCAATAGACGAAAATAGCCATTTTTCCAGAAATGTTCCACTTTTGAATGTTCAGGTTGGAAAAAGGATGTTTATGGTGGGAGGGACCGACTAGGATATAATAGGATTGTTAAGCTTGATTAACTTTCTTCAGGAAGGTGACTATTCCATCTGTCTGTGTTTTGTGTGTGTGTCTTTTCCCACATGTGAAATGCCTGCCCAGGGCCTCTATTAGCCCTGGTCTCTGACCTCGGCTGGACTTCGTGTGGTTCATGAGCTGCTTAGTGATGTGGAGTGGGCTGGGAGGAGATATTGAATTTCCTTTTTTTCTGCCTTAGAACCAAGGACTTTGAAAGCAAAGGAGCTATGGGAAAAAAATGGAGCTGTGATTATGGCTGTGCGGAGGCCAGGCTGTTTCCTCTGTCGAGAGGTGAGTGCCGATGAGGATCTATTCAGAGAAGAAGATCCTGGCAAGTAGGGGCCAGTGCTTTCCAGCCAGATCCAAGGGCCAGCTTTAGCCTTTTATCTACACTGGTCTGTTCTGTTGTTCGCTCTAGGTATTTTTTTGATTTGTGCTGTATTCTGTTTTTTTACCAACTCAGCCTCTTCTACTGGGGTTAGCAACACATCTGACTTTCCCTTAGTATTCCCGGGCCTTTCACCCTGTGCTGTACCTTCTGAGTCCTGGACCATCTTCCCATTTAATCAAGGGCAACGACCAGGTCCAATTCCGTGCCCCTGATGCTCTGCACAGACATAGGAGATGCCTGGATTGAACCTGATTCAGCTGTAGTCAGCCCCTCCCTGTGATAAAGCTGCAATGTCTGAGGAAGCACTTCAAGGTCGCCTGTTAGAGCAGACTTGCCTGTCTCCCTCTTCTTGGGGAGCCCCTAGAGTCCATCATGGACAGCGGAGAGCTACACAAATATGAGCTCGGCCTCCTTGCTGTATGCTTTCGGCGTTCAATCTGTAGCTTAGTGAGATTTCAGTCATGCCAGTAGTGCATTTGGCATGAGAGTTTGTTGAAAGTTAGAGCTCACTGACTGGGTAGTCTCCAGGTTGGCCCCTCGAAGAGAAGACATCATCATCTGTTTGTAAGTGAGGGAGCTTATCAGTGGAAGGCAGGATCTGTGATTGTTGAAACACAAAATGCTAGTGTCAGAAGGAATATTGCAAATACTTGGGTCTAGCCTTGTCCCTTTATAGGTGGGAAAACTGAGGACCAGAGTGGTTTGTGGCCTGTTTGTAGTCACACAGCCAGTCAGTGGCAGAAGACCCAGATTCTGAAATTACTGCCCTGCCTGGGAGAAAACTGGGAATGACAGTCCTCCTGCTCTTGAGACAACTTTTCATCTCAAGCAGTGGCTGTGGCGCCGTCCAAATTGTCATCCTCATTCCCCTGGTTGCCCTCCCTGACCCTGAGGCATTGCCTTTCAGCCTTGCTGATCTCTCTATGCTTGGGCTGTGCTTGTGTGGTTGGGCTGGTGAAGAACCTACTCGTGCTGCTGGATGCATGTGATGCCTGCGGTACCCCACCCCCCGGGCACTGTGTGCCTGCTATCTCAATGGGTCCTCTCTATAGCCCTCGGAAATAGAGCTTGTTGTATCACTTTCATTTTATTATTTTCATTACAGAGGAGGAAACAGGTACAGAGGTTGTAACAAAGCCACACTGATTGGGGAGATGTATTAATTTCCTATTGCCATCACAAATTACCTCAAACTCAATGGCTTTAACTGGCACAAATGTGTCTTGTAGTTGTGAAGGTCAGAATTCCAAAGCGGAATCTGGTTGCATTCCTTCTGAAGGCTGTAGGGGAGAATCCATTTCTTTTGCGTTTTCCAGCCGCTGGAGGCCACCTATGTACATTGGCTTATGGCCCCTTCCTCTGTTTTTAAGTCAGCAATGGCTGGTAAGTCAGCAACAGCATGGAAGCCTGTTTTGACTTGATTTCTCAGGTCCATTAAAACCCAGAAGTTTCCAAGAGCAACAGCTCTCCCTAATTATAACCTGTTTCCCTCTGTACTGGTTTGTGCTCTCACAGAACATTTAGTGGAAACTACGTTTCCGAACTTACAGAAGGTAGTCTGAGTTATTTTGAGTGGCCCAAATAGTAGGTAGTGACTCAGTTTACATGTCATGACTTTGTATAGTGCCATACCAGGAATAAAGAGCCAGGAAAAGTAAGTAAGGCCTTTCATCTCAGCCAGGCGCAGTGGCTCACGCCTATAATCCCAGCACTTGGGGAGGCTGAGGTGGGAAGATCACTTGAGCCCAGGAGTTTGAGACCACCCTAGGCAACATAGCAAGACCCTGTCTCTACGAGGGAAAAAAAAAAAAAAAGCCAGGCATGGTGGTATGCACCTATAGTCCCAGCTTCTCAGGAGGCTGAGGCAGGAAGATTGCTTAAGCCCAGGAGGTTGGGGCTACAATGAACTATGATTGTGCCACTGTAGCTGGGCGACAGAGCAAGACTCTCAAAAAGAATAAAAAGGCCAGGTGTGGTGGCTTGCACCTGTATTCCCAGCACCTTGGAAGGCCAAGGCAGGTAGATCATTTGAGGTTAGGAGTTCAAGACCAGCCTGGTGAAACCCTGTCTCTACTGAAAATAAAAAAAATTAGCTAGGCGTGGTGGCATGCACCTGTAATCCCAGTTACTCAGGAGGCTGAGTCATGAGAATCACTTGAACCCAGGAGTTGGAGGCTGCAGTGAGCCAAGATTGTGCCACTGCACTCTAGCATGGGGGAACAGCATGGGCGACAGAGCGAGACTCCATCTCAAAAACAGACAAATGACCTTTCATGTCACAAGCAGGTGGTTTTAGATTATATCATACACTGTAGTCCTCTGTTCTAGGGCAAAATTTGCCATTCACTGAAGTTCTTGATAAATGTGATCAATTCTGCTTCATTAGTTGTCTTTTTTCTTACTCTAGAAAATAAATGAAAAATTAAATGTAATTGCAATAGCGTTTTTGTATTGGAGGCGAGTAGACTGCATTTAAAAGGATTTCCTCCTGATTCTTTAATTCTGGCACCAAATGTGAAGAACGGATTGAGTTCTTCATGTTGAGCTTTACCATGACTCATGCAGTTTCCTTCATTCATCTAGCATACAGTTTCTGAGGGTCAAGGGTGTCTCTCAGCTCAGCTGCATTCTCCCCATTGTCCCCCTTCAAATCTTCCCACCTGGTAGTTAGCACCTATTTTATATCCAGCCATGTTCTAGGCACCAAGGGTTCCAAGAAATGGAAGACATAGTTTTTAACTGTTAGAAACATTTGGGAATCTAAGATACACCACTCAACTTAGTGATAACAGGCAGACTCAGTACAGAAAATGTCACCGAACAGGGAAGATAGGATATGCACAGAGAAGCAGGGCTTTTCTCCAGGGTGGACTAGCCAGGGATACCTTTCTAGAACAGGGATACCTTTCCAGAGGATAGGGCTGAGCTGAAGAGGGAAAGGAAGGTTTTGGCCAGAGGTGCGTGTGTCTGCTGGGCCCTTGTGTTAGTTTGGTCTAGTGCAGGGAAGGGGCTGGGAGATGAGGTAGGAGAGAAGCGTTGTGGGCAGGAGTGTTTGGGTATGGCTGCTCCCAAGCTCTGGTCAGGACAGCTATAACAGGAGCCTCATCTCTGCTTCCCACTGGAGAAGACAAGAAGCCTGGGCTGCAGAGGGAACCCAGCACTCTGTGTGGAGGCCCAGAGCCAACTGGGACAGAGGTCCCTGAACCCCTATGTCATCCACAGGAAGCTTCGGATTTGTCCTCCCTGAAACCCAAGTTGGACGAGCTTGGCGTCCCCCTCTACGCAGTGGTAAAGGAGCACATCAAGAATGAAGTGAAGGATTTCCAGCCTTATTTCAAAGGAGAAATCTTCCTGGATGAAAAGGTGCGTGTGCTGGGCACCTTTTAGACACAGACTGCTGGGGATTGTGCTCAGCTGTGGAGAGTCGGGCGGCCCAGGTATGTCTGGCCTGGAGCTGGAGGCTGGCTTCCCCTTCAGCTGCCCTCAGCCTGCAAGGCATTTTTCAACCCCCAGAGCAGGGCATGATCAGACATTTTAAAGCTGTCCTTTCAATTACAGATAGTCCCTGGCCCTCTGATGGTTTGACTTATGGTCTTTCAACTTTATAATGGTGTGGAAGTGGTAGGCATTTAATTCCCACATTTCTTCAAGAACCCATATAGCCATTTTGTTTTTCACATTCAATAATCAGTAAACTACGTGAGTTATTCACCACTTCATTATAAAATAGGCTTGTGTTAAATGATTTTACTCAACTATAAATTAATGAGAGTGTTCTGAGCATGTTTAAGGTAGTCTAGGCTAAGCTATGATGTTAGGTTAGGCGCCTTAAATGCATTTCAATATAAGATATTTCAACTTATGATGGTTTTATAGGGACATAACCCCATTATAAGCATATGTATTACTTGAGCCTTTCCTGCAGTGTGAACTAGGAGAGTACGAAATAGCTGAAACTCCAACAGGGTTCTCCACTGTTGGGGGCCTAGCACAAAGCCCCACACCCCATCCCCTAATTCATTTATTTATTTCTCTTCTGCTCCCACCTCTGCAGAATGTAGCACTGTTACCATCCTGTTAGGTGCAAGACTAGTGAGAAGTTAGAGTCAGAATTGAAAGCTACAGATGTCTCCCTAAGTTGGGCCTACCTTGAGGTCAGAAACTGGACCCAGCAGGGTTCTGTTTCCTTGGGCAGTTGAGAGTGGACCTGGATGGGCTGGGCATGGTGGCTTATGCGTATAATCCCAGCACTTTGGGAGGCCAAGGTGGGCAGGTCACTTGAGGTCAGGAGTTTGGGACCGGCCTGGCCAACGTGGTGAAAGCCCATCTCTACTAAAAATTCCAAAATTAGCCGGGCCTGCTGGAGGGCACTTACAATCCCAGCTACTTGGGAGGCTGAGACAGGAGAATCACTTGAACCTAGGAGGCAGAGATTGCAGAAAGCCAAGATTGCACCATTTGCATTCCAGCCTGGATGACAGAGCAAGACTCCATCTCAAAAAACAAAAAACAAAAATAGAAAAAAAGAGTGGACCTGGGTGGGGGTGGTATGTGTATTGGGTGCGAGAGAAGATGAGCCAGCAGGCCTTGAGTCTTTGCCTGAGAACCAATGCCCAGTCGGGAGCCTTTCCTCCCTGGGGAAGGCAGGCATGTAGACCACTCATATGGGATCTGTCTTTCTCACTCCATAGAAAAAGTTCTATGGTCCACAAAGGCGGAAGATGATGTTTATGGGATTTATCCGTCTGGGAGTGTGGTACAACTTCTTCCGAGCCTGGAATGGAGGCTTCTCTGGAAACCTGGAAGGAGAAGGCTTTGTCCTCGGGGGAGTTTTTGTGGTGGGATCAGGAAAGCAGGTAAGTTCTTGGTATTTACTTGTGGGTCTGTAGGTGTCTGTGTCTGTGTGAGCCTGAGAGCAGGGGCTGGAGTGGGGGTTGACTTTCCCTGTTTTGGGTCCCCTATCCTTTTTTCTAGCAAGCCAGGAGACACGAAGAAGGCAAGGGAAGGCAGTTGTTGTTTATCACACATCTTTCTCTGCTAGTACCTCATACTTGAATCTGCTCCCTCATTACAGTGACACCATGAGACAGTTTGATCATTTTGCAGACAAGGAACTTAGAACTAAGAAGGGATGAGCAATTGCACAAAGAGCACAGCCCATTGGCAGCTATTTTGGGGCTGAGCCCAGGTTTGCTGACTTGTAGTTTGTTTTCTGTGCTTGAACAGAAGCATAGTTTTATTCTGTTTATGAATTTACTCCCTTGCAGTATTCCAGGCCACCATGGTTGGATGGCAGAAAAAAAAACTGAGACAGAAAGAAGGAATAGAACCAGGCCTAATTACGGGAAGTAACAAGGAGGTGGCAGGAAGATGATGCTTTTCCCTGTGGGGGTCTTGGTGTCAGGGCTGGCCTAGGAAAGGTATCTGACTCCTCTGCAAACAGGCTATTATGATATTTCTGGTTGTGAAGCTCCAGAAGCAGCATGGGGCCCTAGGGGTGGAAAGGAGGGATGGGATCTCTGTAGGCCCAAGAGCCAGGCGTGCAGTTGTTCGTGTCAGAGTATAGACAGCCTTGAGCCATGGTGGCTCCCCTTGCCCTGGAGGGTGGTGTCAGCAGAGGCCAGGAAGTTGTGTAGCAGGGATGGGGCAAAGTGGACGAGGGGGCTGGGCACCATGGCTCGTGCCTGTAACCTCAGCACTTTGGGAGGCTGAGGCAGGTGGATCACTTGAGGCCAGGAGTTCGAGACCACACGAACCTGGCCAACATGGCAAAATCCCATCTCTACTAAAGAAACAGTTAAAAAATAGCCAGGTGTACTGATGTGCTTCTGTAGTCCCAGATACTTGGGAGGCTGAGGCAGGAGAATCACTTGAACCCAGGAGGCAGAGGCTGCAGTGAGCTGAGATTGTGCCACTGCACTCCAGTCTAGGTGACAGAGTGAGACTCCATCTCAAAAAGTAGATGAGGGAACGATAGGGAGAAGGACCTGGAAGCTGGTACCTGAGTTCTAGGCCTGTCTCTTCCAACCTTGGACGTAACATTAATCTGTAGAAAGTGTTTTCTTTCTGTAGAAAGATGGGGTTTATCTGCATTGTTGGATCTCACTATTGATGTTGATAATTACATACTCTTACCAATTTGCAAGGAATAAAAGGGAATAGAAATCCTTCAAGTTTAAGCTTTATTTCTTAGGTTTTCATTTTATAGCTTGGTAACTGATTCACTTGACAGTATTAGAATTTAGAATAAATTGGTATCTGATGTAACATAAACGAATTTACTAATTTTCTGGTAAATCTGTCAAAATGTCTTAGTAATAATGGTTTCCACTGAGTGCCTGTCTTGTTCTACATGCTCATGTACATGATCTCACGTCTTCCTCACAACCAATCTGGGATGTTAGATGTTTTTATTCCCATCTACATATACAGTAGGGGGCCTAGAGATTTAAAATAACTCAGGCAAAGACACAGCTAAGTGGTCCAATGGAACTGAAACTTAGGAACTCAAATCTATTGAACTCCCGGGGCCGTTCCCTGCCCTGCCCCTAGCCTCTCCTTGGAGGTGGTTCCCAGTGACCCCTTCCTGATGTCCTTATGCTTGGGCAGGCCACTTCCCCAGAGGGTTGCCCATCCTTTTCCTCCTCTGGCATAGTAGGGTTCTTTCACCTACTCACCTCTGCCTTCTCATGGCCTCTGGGGCAGGGGTGGGCATGCCTGCCAGCCTTTTCTTGCCTGGCGATGACTCATCTGGTGCTCAGGGGCCCTACTGGCACATTTCTGATGTTGCTAGGTGTGTTGTTTAACTTTATTGGTATTCCCTGGAGCTCCTGGCCTTCATTCTCCCAGGTGGAACGTTAACTGGCTAGCTGAGCTTCAGGATTTACCTCAGTTCTTGTTGGGTATAGAGCTTTTGTAGTCTAAAATTGGGGGTGGCGGGATTTCCTTTTTTTTTCCTTTTTGAGACGAAGTTTTGCTCTTGTTGCCCAGGCTGGACTGCAATGGCACAATCTTGGCTCACTGCAAACTCTGCCTCCCAGGTTCAAGTGATTCTCCTGCCTCAGCCTCCCCAGTACCTAGGATTACAGGCACCTGCCACCACACCCAGCTAATTTTTATATTGTTAGTGGAGATGGGGTTTCACTATATTGGCTAGGCTCATCACGAACTCCTGACCTCAGGTGATCCACCCACCTTGGCCACCCAAAGTGCTGGGGTTACAGGCATGAGCCACGACGCCCGGCCTATTCTTATTATTTGTAATGTCTGTATTATGGTTTATTGAGCAAGTAAATATAATTTTCTGATCTGCTTCCCTGTAATCACCACAGTGTGGTGGGACTTTTAAGCCTTTATAAATAATGACACAGCATATTTACAGATTTTCTTTTTAAGATGTAATGGATCAAAGAACTCTAACAAGGATTCCTTGATGCTGATCTCAGACATGTTATTTTGTCTCTTTTACAACCTTCGACTTTAGGTAACTTTGGGGAATCCTGTGTCTTAGTGCATTTTTCTTCACTATATGAGAAGAGAGTGGCTTCCAGTTTCTTAGGAAGACTAAAGGAAAAAGAGGGCCTCTCTTTTAGATGGTCATTCAGTGCCTTCCAAAGTCGAATCTCTGAGCTCCACTTCCACACCTTGTGGCCTTTCTATGTTAGCTTCATTTTTTTTTCTCTTCACCTGATAACATTCTTTTACCTGCATCTCTACCTGTAGACATCCTGGTTACCCTCCATGCTTTATCATCTGTGAGCCCTTCCCTGATTGCCCTTGTCATGCTTAGTCACTCCTGACTTCCTGCTTCCAGAGAGCTGCTGGTACAGGCCAGATAGATGTGGCCCTCCTTAATATATCTTCCCCAAAGACTGAACTTGAGGGCAGGAGCCAGGCCATATTTGGATCTCTGTTCTTTGCTGTTCAAGCACAAGGCTTGACAGACAGCTGACCCTCGATGTCTGTCTGATGAACGAATGACTTAGAATGAAGACTGACATTACCTCTTGTTTCCTTTTAGGGCATTCTTCTCGAGCACCGAGAAAAAGAATTTGGAGACAAAGTAAACCTACTTTCTGTTCTGGAAGCTGCTAAGATGATCAAACCACAGACTTTGGCCTCAGAGAAGAAATGATTGTGTGAAACTACCCAGCTCAGGGATAACCAGGGGCATTCACCTGTGTTCATGGGATGTGTTGTTTCCACTTGTGTCCCTCAGGAGTGAGAAACCCACTTATACTCTATTCTTAGTATGGATAATGAA